TCATCTGGCATGATGTCCTCAAATTTCCAAATAAACCTTTTAACGGGGTTTGGAATAGGACCATTTGCCTCTTCAATCTCCTCTAATCGAAGAGTGCACAAAAAAGAAGGTTCATTTCTCTTAAAACCCTTACTAAATTGCATGGCTGAGATACTCTTCTCGCCGATCCTCCCAACTTGTGTAGGGATGACACACGGCTTATTACCCATCATCATTAGCGAATCGAAATATAGCAACACTGCTGTCTTAGTATCCCAAAGAAATGTCAATCCCAGTATAAGCTTGAAATCATTCATCTGAACTACAAATAAATTTGTCCTTCCCTCGAAAGGACCTACTTTGATTAATACCGATTTCGCCACTCCATCTATTGGTTGAGCAGCGGAGTTGATTGCTTTGACTTTTTCACTACCCTTTTTCAGAACAAGTTCGAGTCGTTCTACTTTGGTACATGCAAGGTAGTTGTAGGTAGCACCAGTATCCAGCATAGCCTTGATTGGCTTCCCGTTGATTTTCACATCAATGTACATTAAGCCCTTGGCCCTACAAATTCAAGCAATCGCTTCTTTCATCTTTGCCTCTTTCAATGGGACATCATCCTTTTCAGCAACCCGATGCGACACTGTGTTGCACCGATGTGAAAATACCCCAACTACATCCTCATCCTCTTCGGAGTCAGTCTCACTATGACAATTAGCCTGTGGGGCCTCTTGCTTTGAACTTGACCCGCCAATTGCTTGCTGATAATATGTATTCACCATCCGCTTCTAAGGACACTCCGATACCCGATGAGGTCCTTTGCATAAAAAGCACATCAATTTGGGAGTGGCATCAGTTCGGCCCTTCGTTGCTTTTCCTTTGTTCCAGTTGTTACTATTGCTACTATTAAAATTTCCTTGACGGCTATTATGATAATTTCCCTAAAAGCCACGGGTGCTTTGATAGGCTCCTCCTTTATTTTGAGAGTAACGCTCTCTCCCATTTGGGTTCGAGCTAGGTCTGTAAGGTCTATTACCACCTCCAATTGCTTGACTACTCCCCGAAGGTCTATCTTTTCTAGATTCTGTTTAGTAGCCGCTCGAGCATTCGGTGGCTCCCATGGTCGTGCTCAAATCAGTAACTTTCTGTCTTTGAAATTTTGTACGTGTCCACGGTTTCAACCCTTCCATAAAGGTAAAGAGATTATCCTTTTCCGACATATCTCGAATATTCAGCATATGCCCTGAAAAGGATTTCACATAATCCCTGATAGAGCTTGTGTGTTCCAGGTCTCGAAGTGCCCGTCGAGCCTAATACTCGACATTTTCAGGGAAAAACTGCGATCTGTTCACTTCCTTGAGGAGATCCCAAGAATCTATTCAGACCCTGTTGGCCTAAATGTCAGCATATTTGGTTTGCCACTGCATCTCCACCCAGATACATGGTAGATGTGGTTACCTTTCTAGCTTCGTCTTCGATCAAAGCTGCGAGAAAGTACAGATCCATGTCAAACAAGAAGTTTTCGACTTCTTTTGCATCGCATGTCTCTGCATAGGTACATGATTCAGGAATTCTAAGTCTAGAAGCATACTCAAGTATGAGAGTTTGCCCATTGCCCACCACACATTGGAGTAATCGTTATTGAGCTTTCAACACTTCCATTTCATCCTGCAGATCAGGAGTGATTGCAGCAACTTCAGTCATTGTTGCGCAAGCCCTTTGGCTTTCATCCAGTTGGATGTATAATCCACGAATTTCGGATTCTGTCATCTCGACTTTTTCCTCTAGACCGTCCAAGGCACAGCACAACCTAGTAGTTGTCTCATCAAGCACATCTACGCGCTCTTTAGTAGTACTCTTCTTTTGAGGCTCTCCCACTTCAGTGGTGTGGGATGTAATTGGATCCATAGCTTTCTTATCGAGGATCATGAGCCGCAGCTCTGATACCAACTTTCACGGGGTGCCTTTCTTTTTGGCACAAAAAGGAACACCGTGTGGCAGTAGTCTGCTCTGCTAGACTACCTTCTGCCTTTTCTCGATCGTGTCAAGACGAAAGAAAATTTGATTACAGTTTTGTAGAAAGCTTGCAACAGAGAATTTGAATACATTGAAAGTAAATTGAATATTAATTGATGAAAACTGAACATTACAATTGACAAAAATAGAAAATTACAATTGCTGGTGCGGGGGGCGGACACCAGTGAGCTTGAAAGATTTTTGAATGACTAATACTCCCTATAATAGCATTCGGAATAAAAAACTAAGTGACAGGAGTAGACGTTTAAAAGATGAGGAATCATACTAAACGTTTACTAATATCAGAGCTATTTTACAACTGAAATAACTATTACAATGAAAAGAAAATTACAACTCAAACTTGAACAAATATTTACAATGTGCAGCCAAAGTTGGACAAACTGCGGCTGCGATAGTGTCAAAGGGCTAAGTAAAGCTACGGTCCTTGACACAGGGCCATGAAAAATGAAATCCAAATTGATTTTCTAAATACAAAGCATAGATGGTGTTTATGACACATTTTGAAGAAGTTTCCAGAGAAGTTTGGATACCACGTCGATAAGGATTTAATATTTTCTCAAATTCATGGATTGGTGTATGACTTCCGGTTTGTTGAAGAATTTGAAGAAAGTTGGATCGCAATGATGGATGCATTTAAATTGTATGAAAATGGTTGGTTGTCGGGACCATAAGAGAACAGAAGGTGTTGGGTTCCTTGCTTTTTGAAAACTGCTTTCTAGGCAGTGATATCAACAACGAAAAGAATAATTTGTAATTGTCATGGAAAGAACCGTCAAATCATTTGCAATTGTTACTTGTTCGAGTTTTACAAATAATTTGTAGACATGCGATATTAGTATTGATGCACAATGGCACTAAATCACTACCTGAGAGGTACATACTGAGATGATGGAGAAGAGATGTTAGTAGAGCACACGCGAGAGTCACAGTAAACTACAATGAGTTGGTTATACATCTAGTCATGTAAGATACGACAGTATGTGTCAGTCTTTTGCTGTGGTGGTAGACCTTGCTGTAGATGATGACGACCAAACTTGTGTGATAATGGAATGGATCGAATCACATCGTAAGGTTCTTTTATTAACATGGTCGAGTACTGCTAGTAGTGTCCTCAACGCATCATATGGTACAGTTAGGCACCTAGAGTACTCTATCAAAGAAGTAAGCGAAAGTGTATTAGATCCTATAGCATCGAGAAGAAAGGGTGCGCCAAAGAAACTTCAAAGCAAAAGCCCATTAGAATTGAGTTTAAAAAAAAGCAAAGGTATCTTAAAACGTTTTAATTTGAATTATTTCTGATTCTGAATACAAATCCTCGCATGTTTTTTTTCACAAGCAGGCAGCAACTGTTGGAATATAGTCGTGTTAATGAAATCGGATTATCACATACAGTATATATAGTTTAGATACTAATTTTAAGCATACCGTATATGCAGCTTACTGTATTTGCAGCTTACCATATATGCTGCCTATCGTACATACTTTTAACTGTATTTGCACATATTGTTTTACACATTTCATATATACCGTATTTTCACATACCGATTTTGCACTTACGCATATCAAAATTACAGTAATTTTTTTCCTAATTTTTATTTTTAACATAAACAAAAATTAACGCAGATTAATTTTAATAAACATAAATAGAACGTTAACATAATAAAATTGCAAATTATATGAATCACACGAATAAACGCTAAGTAAATAAATCAGCAAGAATAAATTACGAAGTGTAACTGCAAAATAAATAAATAGCAGATGAATTTTCAACCCGAGGCCTATCCGAATACAGTGTTTTTAAAACAGATTCGTCACCTCACCGTAAGTGCTTGAGGTCTAATCTAAGAGTATGTTTCCCAGGATACAACGGTAAAGCCCATAGAATCTGAGCAATACAGATACTACTCTGGCGAACTGAGTTTGCATTCGAACAATATCACTACCAAGATGACGCTGAAAATGCAACAGATTATGAATGCAGACTATTTTCGTGTGTATGGACAAATTTCTTGGTGTGTATTCTCACATTTAGAATTACTGGAAATGAGACTTAATATAAGATTAAATCTGCCTATTAACTCTATAGCAATAAACACTGGAGTTGTTTCAATTTCTGGGAGTTTTGACAATTTTCGAAAACTCAAAAGTCAGTTGGAGAAAGCAAAAAATTACAAAACGTGGACACTCCAAATGGGCCAATTTTTGCTCGGTTCGGTCCGACATTCATGTACGCAGGTTGTGCCCGCACACAAATTCAAGGTCTGAAAGTAATTTCGGTCTTTGATTTACACCCTCTTACAGCGCACGCGGAGAGAGCCTTTATGCTACACATGATTACACCCTTCCAATGTGCAACCATATTTAAAGTGGTTCATGTTTTCCTATTTTTCCTATGTGGGACAAACTCAATTTTTTCCTACATAAACCATCTTCTAATGGTCAACTTTGAGCTCCAATTTCTCATTCATCCATTCATCAATTTTGGCAAGTAAATATATGGTTTTGATGCTCTCATGGAGGAGAACACGGATCACTTTGATCTTCCAAATTGGACCAACAGGTCCCACCGAAAATTTTGCCAAGAGTGAGTCATTTACTCATTTTTCCAACAACAATGACATCGCGCAAAGGAAAAAGACCTACATCCAATCAGAGTGCTATAACAATTGGTACACATGATCTTCAGGCATCTCAACATCAACAATATTTAATGCCAACAACATTATCATATTCACGGATTTCAATTTATTGCATTGATGGATCTTTAGTTTTCAATGAGATTTTTAGATTGGTTTTGCTAACCACTTTGGATTGAATTGGTTTTGTTAAACACTTTAGTATTCAGACATCTCTAATTTTGAATGTAATGTTTGGAATGATTATGTTAAGCACTTTGTTAAACACTTTAGATTGGGTTGGCTTTGTTACACATTTTTTATTCAGGCAATAATAAGAGGCACACAAGTTACAACTAGAACCAGTCATCAGAAAGCATCTTTTGGGTCCATTTTCTGGAAGTAGGCACAAAGTTCTCTAGAAATAGTCACACAAATACAAACATACATAACGTAAACATTTATTAAATATTGAGGGCTACTAATCAAGCCAGCCACTTTCATTTTGCATTCTTTTCCACGGTTTTTTTGCCATTGTGGATCGTTAAGTTCATGTTCATCGAAATCTAGACATCTTCTTTGTCATGTAGCTCAATTTGATATTGAAACCTAAGGGACAAATCTGACATTGCTTCCTTCGATGAAGGATTCACCGAGCTATTGACGACACTTGATTCGCTTGATTCACCTTCTCGAACCCATTCCCAAAAATTGCATTTTTAACTGCAGCATTTGAATAGATTTCCTTTATTATCGATCCCCCTTTTCACCTCAAAACACTTTTGGAATCCACTCTTACAGTATGGCACCGATGCTTACTTCGGCATTTATCAAGATGTGTCTCTATTAACTCTACAATAATGACACATTATGGAATCCTTTTTCCCATTCTACAATGGAAATCAACCACAACCAATTAATTCAATATCAGTTTTAAGCACCAATTTAACACAAGAAAAACCTAAAAAAACCTCAACATTGCAAATTATGAACCTAAACAAGTCAATGACTATTGTAGATAACAAACACAATCATCATTTTTAATTCTCTTCAAATGACTTCTGTGGCAAACAAACTTTTTAAATCTATTTTAAAATTAATTGGTAGAATGATGTTTTCAAATACTTTTCTATAGAATGGGAGTCTATCAATCTAAACAAGATTTTAAAACTAAATGAACCAGTGTTGGTGATGCAAATGAAATTAACCCATACGGAATTAGATTTGGTGCTACAAATGTAATTAACCTTACCTAATTAAGTAAGTGAACCTTACAAACCAAAATTTCTACCGAGAAGAGGACTCTGGTGTTGAGTTCGCGCAGCCGACTTGCAGGATGAGGACTCCAATGTTGAGTTCCCGACGGTCGATATCGAGGTAATCTTTGAGAGTTTGCTGATTTTTGAAGTCGTGGAAGCAAGAAAAACCTTAGGAATTCTCTGATTTTCGAATTCAAGCTAAATGATTTGAAATGCTTGCAACCTCAACCATTTTTTTTTTAAGGGTAAAGAGGTTTGTCTAAATTTTATATGGGTGGTTTGTCGGTGAGGAGATTCATGAAAACCAGAATTTGAATTGACTAACTTAGGGCTATTCTTGCACGTTTCTCCTTCAGATGTATCGTGATTTTGGATATAATGAACCACAGCCACAACCTTATTTTTTGTTTCATTATCCCGTTTTCTTTCTTTTTAGTTTTTTTAATACAACACCATATGTGCTATTTTTTCAGTGCCTGTATTCAGCCTGTTCAAATGAATATGGTGGAAATGCTTTTTTCCATTCTTTGTTTTCGGGAAAGCTTTTCAAACTCTTGATAGATAATGAAAGATTACTCAGTCCCCACTTGACAATCTTCATTTCCAAACTCATTTTTTCTACATATACATACTATTTTCAATTATACATTCATACAATAAAATATTCTACATATACATTCAAAACTTTTCCTAACTTTTTAACTATATATTCACCTAAAAATCGATATTTAAAATTCTTTTTTCCCGAATAATGATTATCAAACAGGGGCTCATATTAAAACGGAGTTAAATGTTTAAGTAACAGTTAAACGTTTATACATGTCACGACTTGCTCATTGTCCTTTAAAACGTATTCCATTGGCCATTCGACGTTGCTCTATCCAACTCCATTGACCACCGAATGGAAATCGTTAGTAAACTTCCACATGTGGTTGACGATAAGGCGACATGGCATGTTGAATGGTTACTTAAGTGCCACGTCAATGACAAGTAAACAGTGTCAAACACGCCTTTAACTATGGAGAGCAAAAAAACATGCTTTTCCCATTGATTACTTCCTAGCTCATGACTTCTTCAACCAAAATAATGAAAATAAATTAGCCCAGTAATAGAAACCTCAAATCTTGCACATCGATTCTTGGTCGAAATTGAGGTCCATCTTTCAAACCTCTTTCTCCTAAAAAATCGAATGTGAGAAAGGTTAGCGAAGGAACTTGGTACCCAGTCAACATTGTAGAGGTATATTAGCCAATTGATCAAGAAGCAATCCTATCAATTCCCTTGAGTTACCCAAGGTGCGGTGATAAGTGTTGGAAAATAGTATATAAAATTAATTTTTATCAAACTTTGACCAAATATTTGGAAGAGTCCCACTACTAGAATTTGGCGAGAAATGGGCCAATCGTATTCTACTTATGGAGTAGATGAGTTTGGTATATTTGGACATTGAAAACTATTTTCGAATGAATGAAAAATTAGTGAATGAAGTGGGATTGGGAAACATGATTTTTTGAAATAAAAAATAGATTTTTATATATAAGAACATCACTCAAGCGACAGCCCAACACCAGCAAGCGACGAAGTCTCTGGAATGGGCACTCAAGCGACGCAACTAGCCGTAGGTGAGGGACAAACAAAAAGTTGATTTTTAGGTTGTGTCTCTCTAGTTGTAACCCATCAATCCCTAAAATTGAACCCTTATGTGTTGTATTCATTCCTATTCTATGCAATCAAAGCATATCATATAATATTCCTTTCTTGCCAAAATTCTGCATCAAAATCTTGTTTCTTTTTTTCATTAACTTTGATCAGTTCGTCATTTTTGTGTTTTTGAAATGCTACAAAAAGAAGAAGTTGATTATTGTATTTTGGGATATGATTGTAATAATCTATAGGCACCGGTGTGGGGTAAATTCATGTTAAGGACAAAGAGTCCAACTCTTGTCTCGATCTTTCGCATTCCATTTTTTTATAAGAGTTTTGTCCAAGTTTCTAAACATTTTCCAGTGGTTTGATAAGTGATTTACCTCAATAAAGAAAGCACTCATTTGTGCATTTGAAATAACAATTAGCTTATCTAGGACTATGAACACAAGGGACTATACAATGGAATCTGGATACCGCCTCACATATTGCATGACAATGGTGGCCTATGATCTGGAAACTACCAACCCCTGCCCCAAGGCAAATGTCCAGGCCTTTACATGGAGAGTGTACAGTGATGAATGGAAATTATTTAAAATGTATGTTGGGAAAACAAGCTGCTGTCCCATTTGTGGTAAGGTGAAAACTTAAACTCGTGCTTTATTTGCTTGTGCCGAGGATAAATTTAATTTGGAAACATTCTAGACTATGGCCAAATAGGGGGGATTAGGTTTCAAACAAGAATTGATATGCGAGATTCGGGGTGTCTATTATTGGAAAAAATGAGTAAATGGCTCACTTTTGACAATATTTTCGATGGGACCCATTGGTACAATTTGGAATATCAAAGTTGATCCGTATTCTTCTCTGTGAGAGCATCAAAATCATATATTTACTTGCCAAAAATGAAGCTCGAGTGAATGAGAAATTGGAGCTCAAAGATGACCATTGAAAGATGGTTTAAGTGGAAAATTGCGTTAGTCCTACATAGGAAAAATATGAAAGCAAGAACCCCTTTAAATATGATTGCACATTGGAAGGGTGTAATCATGTGTAGCATAGAGGCTTTCTCCACATGTGCGCGTAGGGGGTGCAAATCACGAACCGAAATTGCCTTCGGACCTTGAACTTATGTGTAGACGTGACCTGTGTTTATAAATGTCGGACCGAACAAAACAAAAATTGGCCCCTTTGGAGAGCCCACGTTTTGCAATTTTTTTTTTACTTTCTCCACTAACTTTTGAGTTTTTGAAAACTGCCAAAACTCCCAGAAATTGAAGCAACTCCACTGTTTATTTCTATGGAGTTAATAGGCAGATTTAAAACTTATATTAAGTCTCATTTCTAGTAATTCAACCACGAGAATACACATCATATTACAGTCTACGAAAATATACAGTATAAAAGAAAAACTGTCTGCATATTAGTGTCGTCCGCATACATAATCTGTTGCAATTTTGGCATCGTCATTATGGTGATATTGTTAAGACGCTAAATCAGTTCGCCGGAATAGTTTCTGTGGTGCTCAGATTCTATAAATTTTATCATTGTATCCTGTGAAACAGATGCTCAGATTAGACCTCAAGCACTTACGATGAGGGGGCGAATCTGTTTTAAGGAAACTGTATTCGCACAGACCTCGGGTTGAAGATTTATTTATTTTCTGCCATTCACATATTTATTTATTTAGCGATTTATATATTTACAGTTTGATCTTATGCTTCGTAGATTTTTCAGTTTATTTTGTTATGTGTGCTTCATATAATTTTATAGTTTATTATCAGTATTTCGAAAAAAAGTCTGAAGAAAATTAATTAATTTAATAACATTCGATTTGGTAGTTGTCCAATCAGTATTTATTTAGATATTATATGCAAATATGGTATTTCTACATTTTGGTGTATGTAAGTGCATATCCAATATGTTAGTTGCATATACGGTATCCAGTAAATATGTGTAAATCACTCACTATTTATGAAATGGAATAAAACCAGTTTGTGAAAATTTTGTGCAAATACGGTAAACTTTCTGCAAATACAGTAGGTAGCATATACAGAAAGGTACAAATATGGTAAGATGACTACAAATACGATAGGCTGCAAATACGGTAAGTTGCATATACGGTAAGCTACCTGCAAATAAGGTAAGCGACATATACGGTATATGCATATAGGGTATGCTTAAAATTGGTTTCTAAACTACACATATGGTATGTGATAATCTGGTTTCATTACGACCTATATATTTCCAACAAACATAAAACAAGTTCCTAAAGAAGAAAATTGGTTTCTTATATTGTTAATTTTTGGAAACTAATTTTTTTTGTTTGATTTTCATAAATGGCAACCGAATCGACTAACATGGATGTGACCTAAACTATGCCTACTGAAAATCAGGCTATGGGCTCAGCTGTGGCTCTAGGGCCAAGCTTTGTTGTGGCTCAGACTGTGGCCAGATTGCTAAGTCATGTTATGAGTTAAACTGTGGCTCCAACAACTGGCCATACCGTTAATGTTATGGTTAATCAAGGAGAAAAATTGGAGAAAGTCAATGGCTTGAATTTCAAAAGTTGGCAGCAGAAAATGCTATTTTATTTGACCACTTTGAATCTTGCGAAATTTTTTACTGAGATTACTCCAAAACTCAATTAGGGTGAGGGAGATGTTCAAGCAATCAGTGCACTTGATGCTTGGAAGGATTTGAATTTTCTGTGCCGAAACTATATTATGAACAGTTTAGCAAATACGTTGTACAATGTGTATAACAATATGAAAACTGCTAAGGAGTTATGGGAGTCGTTGGACCGAAAATATAAAATTGAGAATGTCGGAGCTAAAAAGTTCATTGTTGACAGATTCTTAGATTATAAAATGATGGACTTCAAAACAATTATCAGCAAGTGCAAGAACTCCAAGTGATTCTTCACGAAATTCATGCTGAAGGAATGATTTTGAGAGAAACTTTTCAAGTAGCTACAATTATTGAAAAATTGCCCTCCACATGGAAAGATTTCAAAAATTATTTGAAGCACAAATGAAAGAAAATGAACGTTGAAGAACTAATTGTTAGACTTCGAATTGAAGAAAACAACAAGAGTTCTGAAAAGAAGTGGTTCAATTCTGGTATGGCTAAAGCCAAAGTTGTGAAGTTCGGTCAAAAGTAGTAAGAATTATAAAAACAAGTCTCAGACATCTGATGGCAAAAAGACCAAGCAAGGACCGAAATGTGAAATTTCTAAGAAAAAATTTCAAGGAAAATGCTTCAATTGTGACAAAGTGGTTGACAAGTCTTTGGAGTGCAAATTGCAAAAGAAGAAGAAAGAAGCAAATGTGGTTGACTATATGGCACAAGATGTGTCGGAGCTGAATCTCTCAGCTGTCATTTTTGAAGTGAACATAGTGGGCTCAAACCCTAAGGAGTGGTGGATTGACGCCGGTGCTATGAGGCATGTATCCTCTAATAATGAGTTGTTTGCTATGTTTAAAGCAATTGAGAATGAGAAGAAGTTGTTCATGAGAAATTCATCAACTTCTGAAATCAAGGGACAAGGAAAAGTAGTTCTGAAGATGACCTCGAGAAAAGAGCTAACTCTTAACAATGTGTTATATGTGCCGAAAATTTGCAAGAACCTAGTGTCTGGGTCATTTTTGAATAAGCATGACTTTCACATTATATTTGAGTCAGACAAAATTATTTTATCAAAAAGTGTATTGTTTACTGGAAAAGGATATGTTTCCGA